TAGCCATTCAAAGTCTGCCAGAGTCACCGCTTTGGCTTATCGAACACGGACGATTCGATGATGCTCGCGAGGCACTGAAGCGACTCCGACGGGATGCCACTGAGGCTACACGCGAATACGAACTAATCAGAAAGCGACGGGACTCCATGGAAGATCTGAACTATCAAAAAGGTAAACAGGGTCTGTGATCAAGAGAACTATTTTCCTTTGCCACATGATAACGATAACAAGAAATGGTGTCATGTAGTAATAGACGATGCACGTATGACACTGAATCTTGTACTTCTCCAGACTCATATGCAAATATATTTACTGACGAAGGTAAAAAATGAGTAAACTTCATGTACACATTTGGGTTGTACTTCCGATAATGAAGTTCGGTTGAAGATGTCTGAGGTAAACAACTGGGGCAATAAATAGTTTAACTTTAGCTAATCTAGAATTAGATCAAGTTCTTCGAAGCGTACTGTCAATTTTGATGAACTGGCCACAGCTCATCACCGGTAAGGAGGACTATTCAGTGCTTGATCTATCTTATCACTTGTATATTGCTGGAATAGGAAAACTGCCCTTGAAAGTTAACAATAGCCAGAAAAGGTGACGAACGAATGAAAGGAGCATCATCAATATATGCTGGTTCATTGCAAAGGCGAAGAAGTTGAAACTATAACGGTTGAGCATGTTTTAAGAGAAACTAAATATCACGTTGTCTCCAAAGAAAGTGTTGTCGAACCGAGGGAAAACCCCCAGGTTTTTGATGAGACGATGTGAAGAAACGTGGATAAAAATCAAAGGAAACAGAATATTGTGGCAAAATCTGGGTGAAGCCGTCATCTAGCAGTGCTGCGACAAAAAGATTATGGTATTTTTCGAACCTTCAGGGTACGGTTAGAATTTCTCAGTACGTCTTACTGTCATAAGGCATCACTTAAGGAACTCCTTGATACTCTTGCATCGAGCCGCTATAAAGCAAAACCTGCAGTTTCACTCGCTGTTCATATTCATCACTGTATTTAAACTTCCGAGACCATTCCAAATCACTCGGATCATATTATGTTCCGAAAGTAAACAGCAGCCATTTCAGTAAATGTAAGAAAGTTCCGTACCTTCTGACCTTAGATAACGAGATAATTTGAAATCGGATTCTTACCTTCCAATACACACAAGCAACCAAGCGAGTTACAACCTCAACTACTTTCTTTTGATTTAAGGTTTTGGGTATAGTGTAACATCGTTTAGGAAAATGCATGTTGTGGAATATGCTGACGACACCACATTTACGTTGCGCCTTGATCGTTGGTTGCGCGCTGTTCATCTACCAGCAGCTGGCAGGCATCAACGCAATTCTGTAAGCAAGTGTTTCAAAATGTTTCACGTCACTTCGTCCTTTGTTGTCTTCAGATACTACAGTGCGACGATCATGCAAATGGCAGGCATTCGCTCAGTCGGTCTGAGTGTCTGGCTTGCTACCATATCCAGTGCTGTCTACTTTCTCTGCACTCTTATGGTAGTTGCATTGGTTGATAAAGTTGGTCGGCGAGTGTTAACTTTGCTCAGCCTTATGTGTAAGTAGTTTACAGCACTAAAACTAGTACAACATGTTTACTATGCATAATTGGGCCTAAGTTGTTCAGTAGTCTAAAACCACTATTTTGGTCGACGTTCGAAGTTTCATTTTAAGGAAGGCAGCGACAATTACAAAGAAAAATGTCATCCACTGTTCAGGTAAATGGCGACATCTATATTTAAGCCTGGCAACATAATTTCGCAACAACGCATCCCACACTTTGACAATCCAAATCATTTGAGAAATTTTACTTCTCGCAGTTTCCAGCAGAAGCGAATTTCCGTTCAAAAAATAGACATGAGCAAAAATTTTTGCCATGCTGTTACTAGGGATTAATACAGAGTAGTGATCTGCCATCTGAACAGTCCTTGTCAAGTTTTTAACCTAACGTCCTTTGCCTAGATAGATTTTCCTTAAGAGCATTAATAGGTCAGTCAATCTATCCATTACTAATGTCCTGTTAACCGATCCTTCAGAGGTCATGAACAGGTCGTAAAGACTACAAAAAATGACATTCACAAACACCTTACCCTGACTGGAATCCGTTACTTTAGGCGAGCTCTTCGCGAAGTACACTCTGAAATTGTATTTGCGGAGTGCTCAAAATGAGCTGAAGCTATAATGAGTTGATGTTTCGTACGTTATCAATTATCAATCACACTGGTGTTCACGATATGCTAAATGGTGCTAACTTGCTTGAAAGTATTTAAGGGAAATCATTCTAACAGTTAAATATATATCTTTTTGCAGTTTCGTTCATGAGCCTAATGATTGTCGCTGTTGGCTTTCGAGTGATGGAAGAAGAGTCGCCAAAGATGACGGGATCCGCTCTAGGGTCCCCGTTGCATGAAGCATTTTCATGCTCCGCGGCACAAACCTGCGAGCTGTGCATTCGATCGCCGGCGTGCGG